CCAACTCCTTCTCTTTCTGTCTGCTTATTGGAGTCCTGCACAACTCACTCTATTCTTCTTCCCAAGGCAGCTACAATCCCCTCAGATTTCTTTTCAGGATAGTGTTCCTACAGCTGCTCATCACTTGTCAGGGATCTGAGCCCTTTGTTGCACTGACTGCTACCCTCAGTAGATTCCTCTCTGTGATCTTTGTGGCATATGTCCCTAAAGGGAACAGGGCTCCCGGCTGTGGGCTCCCTTTGCAGAGTGGGGTGGCCCTTCTTCTAGATAAAATGAAGTGCTGAGTCCTAAGCCCAGTCAGCCCAGATCAGCTTAGCTTATTTGTTCTTGTCAGTCACATCACCTTGCTCTATTGATACTACTTATCTCCCTCATCTGTTTGTGTGAGTGGTAAACTGAGGCTCGGGCCTCATTTCAACCATACACAACTCTTTTTGGATGAGGGCCCACCTACCTGCACGTGCACAGCTTTGTGCTTTCTGCAATATGCGAGATGTGTGCTCTACCTTCATGGTAAGGTCTTTACCAAAATGTATGTCCTTGAAAACTCTCTCTAGGGCTGCTGACCAGGACACTTAAGCCCCGTCTTTTAGTCAGAAAGCCCCTCTATGAATCTGCAAATTTGAGATCACCCCTATGCCCTCCTTCAAATGTACCTTCATATAGTCATATATGATTTTGTATTGTATAACTCTGAGTACCCTGTTACCTAGCAATTCCACTCGTCGGTACACATACACACACAAGAGATGAGTGCAGATGGTCACCAAAAAACAAATAAACAAAAAACAAAATAAAGAAAACATTTACAGTCCTCCCAGCTTCGTCCACAATAGTTGAACCAGGAAACAACCCAATGTCGACCTGTAGGAGAACACAGAAGTAAACTGGGGAATTTTCATTCAATGGAATACTGTTTGGTGTGGAGTTCCTTGTGATATCCAACACGTATCACAATATCTGCTCGGGTTGACTGGGAGGCAAAAGACTGTTAAGTCCCAAGAGTTGGAACGTCTTAAAGAAAGGATGTTTTGCCAGCTCAGGCAGAGATGGGCCTTTGGAAGGGGCCAATCAGATAAAAGTTGATTATTCAGCCAAACTATCTGTCAGGCCTTGCTTGTCTTCCTTTGATACCTAAAACAAACATCTGTGCTTAGCATAACTCTGTTGCCTCTGTTGTTCTCAATAAATCTGGGGTCTTGAGTCAGTTTAGGCTTTACTGAATTGGTGAAGGCCCCTGGTTTTCTGGCTAACTGATTCTCTGTCTCTCAAGGCTTCACTCATCTCTCACAGGGTCGTGGACCGAATCCGGCAACGTGGCAGTGCAAATTATGACCTATGGTTCATACAACAACACAGATCATTTTCAAAGGCATGATGAAGAGAAAACAAAAACCCAGACACAAGTGAAGCATCAGTCATATCTGCCCTAACTAGGTGATGTCCAAAACCAGGTAAAAGCAATCTGTATAATGAGAACACCGGTCACTTGGGGAGACATGCACGGACTGGGTTAAGGCATGAAGAGATTTCTGGGAAACTAGAGATGGTTTGTATCTGCACTTACACAAGCGTGTACACAGGGGAAATTCTTTGGGCTGTTTAATTAAAATTTATGAGCTTTATTGTGTGCTAATTAGAACTCAAAATAAACACCAAACAGTATCTATGAAAGTAAAAAAAACCTCTCCTCCCTGCTGTCCATGATTTTCCATGAATTATCTCCCATGCACATAGAAATACCACTCTAATTCAATACTTTCACCTCCAGCTTAGGGAAACGGAGACTCTGTTCCATGTCCCTTTCAGGCTTCACAGCACAGCTGGTGAATACCAGCACCCCGACTCCCAAGCGCAGGTTCTACATGCTTTACAATGAATGCAGCTTGCTGTGTGTCTCAGCGTAAAGGCCGTGGGTTCAACCTCCAGTGCTGGAGAAGAAAAAAGCCGTAGTATGTATCACTACCCTAAAGCATCCCACCTTTCCCCCACAAAAAGGCCATATTTTATCTAGAGAGACGCCCTGTGACAGCATACCTGGGTGTGCATTTTCTGAACTACAGTATGAAAAGTACCGCCATGGAGTAGCCTCAAAAAGACCATCAGTGACAGATGGCGTAGAAACCTTGGATCTTTAAACCTTGAGACTGTAGTTTGTGACGACTCAGAGGTCACCAGGCTAAGCTACTTCCCTACCAATACTAACGTGTTTTTGCCTTTTTCACTCTCATTTTCCTTCAGGCCTCAGTAGAGTTTTTTCCAAAGTTAGATGACAGGTGGCATCACTACTGATGAAATTGACACAGATGTGAGAATCCAGCTGTCTTCTATCAACCACAGAAACAGATTTACCAGGCGGGAAAAAAAAAGGAGGAAACTAATGCTATTTTTGTCAATTTTGCTTTTAGAAGTTTTTTTTCTTTTAAATCAAAAGATGTTTATCTGGGTAAAAGGTTTATTGTTATATTAAAATAAATACTTTGAAATTTTTGTTTCAATGTTAATACTAGAAATATAATTAGAGGGAACAGGCTGAAACAAAACCTTTCTGGCATCTTAAATAATTTTTAAGAGTGTAGGGGCCTGCGAGATAGCTCAGTGGACTAAAGTGCCTGCTTAGGCAAGTGCAGGGACTGTGGTTTCATCCTGCACCATGTGCCAAGCCAGCCCTGCCCTCAGGGCAGGCTGAGTTGGCCAGAGTCTGGGTGTAGTGGCGCAGGCCTGTAATCCCAGCGCTGGGGAGGCTGAAAGCAGGAGGACCTCCACGAGTCCGAACTGTGAGACCCTGCAACAACCAAATACATAAAAAATAAATAAATAATTTAAGAGTATAAAAGTACATAAGACCAAAAAGATAAAAAGGTGTTATGGTAAACGTATTTCTTTGGGGTAATCTGAGGCCCTGTAGGCTGGCTCTATCCTACGAGTCAGCTTAAACTAGAATCTAATCCATGTGAATTTGGTTCCAGAGACTAAGCAGACTCAGTACTATAAGCTGAAAAATAAGCACAAAACCAAAATATTTTATGTTGTTAAGGAAAATGAAATAATAGTGAGTTGTTGAGCTGGGGAGATAGTTCAGTGGCATAAGTACCTACCCGGCAAGTGCAAGGTCCTGAGTTCAATCCCCAGTACCAAAAAAAAGGTAAGCTGTTATCCTATACTTATGCAATGCTGAATCATATGTGCAGAAGGGAAAGCTGAACCAGGAAAAACAGGAGAAGAACACTGTATCCCTAAATCTATGTGCCCCATGGCACCTAGTGAATGAGGGCCAGAGGAACGCCTCGTGGAAAGTGGCTCTTGTGTTCAAATTCGTGTGTGTGTGTGTGTGTGTGTGTGTGTATGTGTGTGCGCGCGCGCATGTGCGCACATAGTACACTGAGAAGAGTTTACGTCATTTATTAAACTTTGGTTAAAATAACACTTTTATTCCAAGCTTTGTTCAGTTAAAGTACAATTGTTCTTTGGTTAATCATAACTTTAGCCTGTTGGTATTAGAAGTACAGTGGGTATATGAGGGACAAGTTTGGGAGCCCTGGGTAAAAAGAGTGGGCCTGTCCAGGCCAGCACCAAGCTGAGAGAGGGTGCTGCATAGGAGGCCCCCGCTGTCCTCAGCTCAGCGCAAATCCTGCCTTCGTCAGACAGAGTGATGCATTAGGGTATCCAAGAACGGTACCCATCCTAGAACCTGATCTGCCATCCACTTCCGACACCAAGTATGTCAAAGGGGCCTCTGAACCCCAAGTTAATGCCCCTTTGAGCATCCTGTAAGTAAATTTTACCCCTATGGCTTTGTGTTAGCTCTAGGTTGGATGATTTTTTTTTTTTTAGTTAAGGTATAGTTTCTATTGTAAAAATGAAGAAATTCATTGTCTCATAGAAACTTGAGGCTATGGGGCACTGAACTGCTAAGCTTTGCTGGAGGTCAGAGGGAAAGGAGAAGTATACAGCTGATGCCAGGGAGAGCAGGCACAGTTTAGGGATGGTGCCAGCTGTCCTGTCCCAGTCAGGAAAACCAAGAGTGGGGATAGACTGGGGAGGAACTTGGCTCCTCAGCACTGGCGTAGGTGCCAAGACCTGGCCTCATTTGGCCAGACTGACACTAGGCTTGTTGAGGTGGAAGCAGGTACAAAAGAGGAGAGCTGAGGGAATGGGTTTTGGCCTCGGTCGGTTGTCGAACTCCAACCCTGGGAGCAGGAGCAGGGGCCCAGGATATAGACGGATAGTCCTTGGAGGGCAGAGATGATGTGTCCAGAGCTTCTCTTGGCCCCTTCTGCTGGAGAGAACACATTCATTCCTGGACTCTTCTGGTCCTCATGCTGCCAGGGAGCTGTAAGTTGGGGTCTCCAGCTCAGCCCTGGGCTCACACCTTCACTCCTGTGCTGTGCAGTGCTGGTCCTGGCTTATCTTCCTGCCTTCCTCCCCTTCACTTGTCCTATCCGTTGCTCATAATCTTCCTTTGTTTCAATTTTTACCTCTTGAAGAAATGCTTCGTTCTTTATATGACAGCCCTCTCAATATTTGAAAGTATTGTAATTTCAGTTTGTTTGAACTCCTTGGATCATTTATTCTGCATTTGTTCAATAAATATTTAATTTTTTAAAAGACAGCAAGATGGAACAAGGTGAATGTTATAACACAGGAAAGCTGAAGCACTGCAGAAGGGGTCCTAACAAGTTTTCAAGGCTGCCTTTACTTTTTATTGCTTGGTCAGGTTTAAAAAATACAAGCTATTCCCTTTTCTTGCTTGATCGGGTTTGAGAATTGTCTGTCTATCCCTTAAGTGAGCGTCTCTGGACAGAAGCGAAGGTGGGTCTTGTTGCCTTGGCGATAGCGAGGTTGGTTTGAGAGGTTGCTTGGCCAGCCAATAGAAGTTTGTGGGCGGGGCCATCTCGGTCTCTTGCAGCTACCTTGGGGCTTGCAGGTTTGTGGACTGGGCTTAGGAAGAGCGGGCCAGGGGTTAGGGGGGAGTAGGGGCTTCAGGGGTCCCCCTCAGGCGCCAAATCCCCGGGAGAGGGTGTCGGTGGCTTTTGCTATCGGATTAGGGAACCCATATTTTGTACCTGGAGTTTCTGTCGGCCAGAGCTGGGAGGAGCTGCCAGGCTGTGGAGGTGGAGATGGCGGAGGATGGTGGGACAAAACGCTGGGGTCAGAGCTGGGCCTGGCCGGCGCATCCGGGGGCTCCTGGCGGCCGTATCTAGACCCCCTGCCCCCCGGATGCCCAGAGAGACCATTGGAAAGCTGGAGACTTGAGAGAGAGGGAAAGGCGCTTTTGCTGACCCTGTTTAAGAGGCCCTGCTATCTTGGCACCCAGCCCCATTTCCACGTCCTAGCAAGATGATTCAGGCTGCAGTGTGGCCACTTTCTCCTCCATGGCTTTTTTTCTTTAGGTGCCTGGTCCTGCTAGCCCAGCAAGCCTGATAAGCATGAAGCTCCTATCTCTGGTAGCGGTTGCCGGGTGCTTGCTGGTGCCCCCAGCTCAAGCCTACAAGGTGAGGGAGGTGATCCAGCTGCATGCACCTCAAGCACCAGCCCCCTGCCTGCAGCCCCCTCCCTCCACATAGCTTGGCCTTGCTCACTCGGGAGGGAGTGACCTCTTGAGCACAAACTGCAGGGAGGGGTAGGGTGGGGCACAAGGCAGAGGTCCTGCGAGGAGATGGACCTGTGATGGAAATTCAGCAAGAAAGTTTGGGGAAGTTAAGTTCTTCTCCCTACCTCCTTCTCCCAGGTAAAATAGTAGTGGTTAGACCTACAACTCAGCTAGAGACAATCAGATCACATCGCAGTGCAGAACTGTTCCCTGAGTATAAAGTCTTACACAGATGGAAGTTTTTGTTATGACTGGGGCCCGCTTAAGTGTGGGCTCCTTAGATAATTCCCTTTCCTTAAGGATAGAGGACCAGGAGCTTAATGTGGAGGGGGCTATGGAATCTGAGATTCTGAGGATCAGAGGCTTTGAGGAAAGGTTGAGTCAAGGTTTGCTCCTGTTCCCTCCAGGGAATCCTAATTTTACCCATTCCACGGGGGGAAGAATTTTCAAAGGAATTGCATAAGTATTTCCATGGGAAACGTGCACTTTTTCTTATCCATCTCTACCTTTTTTTTTTTTTTTTTTTTTTGTATTTTAGGGAAGGGTCTACAGGGTGTTTAGGGTCTCACTACTAGATTGGACTCATAGTGATCCTCCTATTTACATCCTCCCAAGAGCTGGGATTATCTATGTGTTTCTTCCCCCAATCCTAATCTGGGAGGTTGGAGATAGGATTAAGGGAAGAAGCTGGGCTCTCAGCCCATAGAATAGAAGTGCAGTGTGGGCCTAAGGGTACAGGACTGTCACTTTGCTCACAAGCACCCTACTTAGTAGATTCCTGGGAATCTCACTTGATACCTGTACAGTTTCTGTCTTGAGGACCTTGTGATATAGTGTCTATCTTCCCTCGCTGAACTTCAGCATACTGAGCAGAGAACTAAAACTTCTGCCTTTGCTAGAATTCTAAAATTCTAGCCTTGCTTGGATCTGAATCCACAGGAATCCTTCCTTTCTGATACATGATTTCTCTTCCAGAGTTCTGAAGATATCCGCTGCAAATGCATCTGTCCACCCTACAGAAACATCAGTGGGCACATTTACAACCAGAATGTGTCCCAGAAAGACTGGTAAGGCACGCAGGCTGGCTCTTCACTGCTATGCCCAATTGAAGTGGTGGGTGTTGTAGTATTCTTGGATCCCCTTGAGGCTAAGCATGTTCTCCCCTTTCTATGGGAGATGATAATATAATAATCCATCAGAAACAGGATCTAGAAGCCTTAAATTCTAACTGAGGTGTCTTGGTTAGAGAACTAGTTTTTGTTTGTTTTATGTATTTAGTACAGGATCTCACTACACAGATCGGACTCATAATGATCCTTCTGTTTTCAACCTCCCAAGCACTGGGATTACAGGTGTACGCCATCATGCCCAGTCTTGATTGCTGTCTCAGTACACCCCAGAGGTAGGGCACTCTGGGAATTGAACCCCATCCCTGCCTCTGCCTAAGCAAGCATTTTAATTTGCTGAGCTATCTGGCTGGCCCTAGAAAACTAGTTTTGAATTTGGGTTTTCTATTGATACATGTGGGTCACGGTTTGTGTTTGTTCCCTCCAGGGAAATCTTAGTTGGAAGAGGGAGGTATTATGATTCTAAATAAGTCCCTGACTTATTTAGGCTGTTCCAGAAGAACATTCATAAGTCAGAAATGTTTGTAAGTCTGACAAAGTGAGTCTTATACACTTTTGACACAAATATAGTACAATGTTAAGTATAAAAACACAAACTACTCAAAAATACTGGAAGTAAACTTTTTACTGTATCTTAGAATGGTGATACAGTACAGTACAACTGTAAATAAGCTACAGTTACCTTAAAATGATAGGGTAGACAGGTGAGCTGTTTCAGTGATTGTTTACATCTATGACTGTTTGGATTTGCAGGTCCACTCATATCTGTGAAGGTTGACAACCTGAATGTTCATAAGTTGGGGACCTACTATGCAATATTCAATGCTTTCCTAAAACTCTGCTCTACTCCTGTGTTATTCTGTGCTAGTTTTATAGCAACCTTGTAGGATCAATTGGAAATGGGATGGGTATTGTTTACATTTTATAATTGCATAGACTGAAGCCCCCCCAAAAGAATTTAAGTTATACTCCTGGAGACTTGAAAACATTTTTTATGTCTTCCTTTTAAAAAACAAAAGCTGGGCAAGGTGGTACATGTGTGTGGTCCCAGTATTCTGGGAGGCTGAAGCAAGAGAATTACAAATTCAAGCCCAGCTTGAGTATATTAGCAACTTAGCATGATCTTAAGATAAAAAAGGGAGAGAGAATATAGTTCCATGGGAAGGCCTTAAGTTCAGTCCCAAATACCAGAGACAGAGACAGAGACAGAATTTCAGCACATTGTCCCAGAAGGGATGATTTAAGGAACTGAACACAGGCTCAAGAGGAGAGGGCCTTGGAGCACATGGTGCTCCCCAAGACCCGAGGAAGGACTGGTGTGCTAGAGGAGGTGGGGCAGAGAGCCCTGGGGGTGTGTGGAGGTCTTGTGGGTCCAGTGTGGTTTCGAGTGTAGAATGGGGGCCAGTGGATGAAAGCTTCAGGGAAGCCATCACCATGGGCTAGGGAAACCCTTCTGTCCCATTGGGAAGCCCCATCCTTGAAGCGATCAGAGCACGGATGGTGCAGGGTCACTGGGGAAGGGAAATGGGATGGGTGTGTGGTCAGTAGTGCCTCTGTGTGCTTTAGGACCATCAGGCAAGCTTTGAAGAAATACAGGCTCCCAGCAGCTTGCTCCCTACCTGGGAGTTTGGTTTAGCAAGTAGGAATGGAGAGAGGTGATAGTCTTTCCTTAAGTAGTTCATTTGGAGTTGATTGGGAGTAATACTGAGAGTTCTGAAACTAGTTGAACTTCTCTTAAGATGACCCGTGACTCTGAAGCTAGCTTTCCTAGCTTCCAGTATAGCTTTGCCACTTGTGACTTGTGTGACAGATTACTGTGTTTCTACTGTTTTTTTGTTTTGTTTTGTTTTGTTTTTTCTTATTTTCAAAATGGTGCCAATGTTTTGAATGTTAAGGGTGTATGTATGTATGTATGTATTTGTGCATGCACACGTAAGTATAGCCAGTATTAGAACAATATCTGGCACATAATAAGCACTGCATAAACGTTCGCATTGTCATCATGCTTCACTGATGCCCTCATTATCCAGTTTATACTGTAGTCCTGGAGAACTTGGGCTGCTCCCAAGCAACTGGCCTGTTTTCTCTACTTTTACTGTCCTGATGGATCCTGAAACATAAAGGCCTAGTAGAAAGGGCCCCACTGACATCCTTCTGCCCAGCTCCCTTCTGTCTGTCTGTCTTACCTTTACATGTATTTTAAGTAGTGAAAACATTAAGAGGCTCTCTTAGTCTCAGAGCACAAGCCTGCGTCCCTGCCCTATACGAGCAGGCACAGGCAGACTGGAGTAGCACTGTCACGACGCTGGGCTTGTGGTGTAGCCTGAAAACCCAAGCTTGAGTCCTGTCTAGGTCTCTCAATTTCTGATTTCTTTCTTCTTTCCCATTAGAAATCAGAGTGAAGGTGCTGCCTGATGAATAACTTGATATCCTTAGGATAGCTCCATTAAGGAACAGGGTGGAAACTGAGGCTGGGAGCTGAGATGCCAGGATTTGGGGACCCAGCAATATTCGCAGTTTTTGGAGCTTATCACGTGCTTGTGTGGAGCCCCTGGGGGGGTGACCTTGACATTGATCCTAGCACCTCAATGCTAGGGGCCAGAATTGGAAATAACTTTGGGTCTTCAGGTCGCTGCCATGTTTTCATTCTGGTGTCACATATGTCCCCTGCTGGAGGGACACTTGCCCCCTTTCCTTTGATAGTGCAGAGTTCAGTTGTCTGGTCTAATGGCCAGGCCAGGGGTGTGTGTGTGTGTGTGTGTGTGTGTGTGTGTGTGTGTTGTGGCTCTTCTGCCATCTAGTGTGGAGAGCGTATAATCGCATGGGTATAAAAAGGCAGAAGCCCCTGTCTGTGGTACTGCCCATTGGTGAGTCTGTAAGATGTGTCATAGAAGCAGTCCCAGAGCAGGAAGGAGCTTAACAGCTGGATTAGTTTATTACCCTTCAAACTTGCTAATACAGTAATCTTCTACAAACACAATCTGTTATGGGAACAAAATGTATAAACCAAGAAATCAGAATTGCCCTGGCTGAGTGACCACTCATTGCCACCCTCCTGCAGGGTTTCCTGGGCCACCCAGGAGGGCAATCTGAAAGGTATAGGTTGAGTCAGCCTCCATCCTAAATGGGAAAATCAAGGCCTGGAGATGTTAACTCAATTACTGCAATCATAGAGTAAGTACAAGAACAGGGCATTAAACCCCACTTATCCTTTTCTCTCTCTCTTTTTTTTATCTTTCTCTTAATCTGCTCCCCTTTATGTCCCCTGACTAGTCCATGGACTCTTCTATGACTGATCCCCAAAAGGGCACAAGAAAAAGATTTAGGGTTTTCCTAATTCCTAGAAGACCCAGAAGCCAGGAATATTGACTCTTATGGCTGTCCCTGCTAGCCCATTGCAGCCTGTTTCCCTGGGGAGCAGGATTCCAAATGGAAGAACTCAGCTGACCTTGCCTGCTGCCCCTGACACTAGACCTTGGCCTTGGGAAGGAGGTCACAGATCCTGCTGTAGCTCCAGAGCAGCCTTCCAAACGTAGGACCACATGTGGCTTAGGAGCAAGTGGAATTTGGTCCCCCAGAAGCTTGTGGAGACTTACTAGAGGTGAAGGTGGCAGTCCCAGTGATAGAAGAACAGCCATTCAAACTGACCTTGTGCATCACCTCCTCTCAGAGGAAGGAAGCGTGTGCAAGGCCTGAAGGCGGAGCCTTTGGATGCAGTGAGGAGACCCGGTCCTCGTGGGGAACAGTGCGGGTGTCTGTACTCACTTATCAGAGGTGTGGATAAGCTCACGTATGTGACACATTGAACTTTTGGGAGAACAGTCTTTTGAGGGCCTCCCACTGTTATTTCAGCGTAGGATCTTCACATCCTTCACCCTTAATGCTGCTATACAAAAAAGCCACCCTGAGAGTGCAGCTCTGGCCTCTTGCTTGCAGGGAGCTGCGCTTGGCTCTTTCAGGACATCTGGTACAACCATGGCATCTCGCTGCAGAGGACAGGCCCAGGACATGGACACTTGGTGGCCAAGTCGAGACAGCCTAGACCTGGCTGTCCACTGCAGGGTGACACAGGGATTTATGCATCCCTGAGGCCAGAGCTCTGGATTGGGGCTTTGACTTCAGTGCCATGCTGGAGTTCTCACTGCCCTCCTGATCCCATTATCCTAGTTGTTGTTATTTTGTTTTGTTTTTATTTTCATAATGTTGAGAACTGAACCCAGGGCCTTTCATGTACTAATAAGCACTTTATTACTGAACTACATCCCCAGACCTTTTAAAAATTAGATTTTGAGACCGTGTCTGGGTGATTTGCCCAGGTTGACCTTGAATTTGCAGTTCTCCTGCCTCAGCCTCCCAAAGGCTAGAATCATAGGCCTGTGGCACCATGCGTACCTCTGTTTCCCTTTTTTTAAGTGCCAGGTCTTCTGTTTTCAGTTTCCTTGGTTCAGGAGCACTGCTAGGTGACAGGGGCTGCAGAAACTTACTCTCAGGACATGTGTGTGTTTGGCTGCCACTCACTAAGTCGGGGGCAGAGGTCAGACCCACAGAGTGGCGAGAGTAAGTGGCAGACTGCATTCCTAGCAGGAGTTGGGGGGATGGCTGCTACAGAGAATGGTCCGGCAGGTCTGCTTGGCTGGAGGGTGCACAGGGGGTGCTGGCTAGGCAGGCAGCCCGCAGTGAGGAGGTCAAGGCCCAGCAGGGCAGTTCAGCTAGCTTGCCAAGGGGGTTGGCTCTGGGATTCACTTTGGGAAACGTTGTGATGGCAGTTCCACGTAGGAACAGTCATTGAGCACTATGCAAAGGTGGTGTTGGCCCTGGCCACACTCGGCGTGGGACAGCTGAGGAAGCGATGATAGGGGCCTCAGCTGAGCCACAGCACAGGGGGAGAATGGAAAAGATGAATTTTATTTTATTTTATTTTATTTTCTGGTACTGAGGATTAAACTCAGGGCCCTCATACTGAGCTACAACCCCAGCCGACATCACACCCTTAATTGTTTTATTCAGCGAAAGGGGCTCACTGAGTCACTGAGGTGTCCAGGCTGGGCTCTAACTTTCAGTCCTCTTGCTTGACCTCCCAGAGTGCTGCGATTCCACATGTGCCCCACCTGGCTAAGAGAGCGATCGCAGGGGTTTTTAAGGCACTTGGTGGATTTGCAGGAAAAGGAAAGGCAGTGTTGGAGATGAGTTGCGGCGTTTGACTTGGTCAGCAGGGTAGATGCTAGAGGTGCCTAGAAACATGGTCCATAGAGCCAGAGTGCAGGCTTTGGGTCCTGTAGGCAGAGTACACTGCTGCACCTGTGGCTTCGTGGCCCCTCAGGATACTCAGTGATGAGTCCTGCAGTCGCTGTGCTAGAGTCCAGCTCAGTAAAGAAGAGGGGGCTTATGGGCTGTGAGATGGCTCAGTGGTCTAAAGCACCTACTTAGAACAAGCTAAGCTAAACAAAGCACAGGGACCGCGGTTCAATCCCCCAGCACCACATGCCAACCAGCCCCGCCCCCTGGTGGGCTGAGCTGGACACACACACACACACACACACACACACACACATAAATAAAATAAAATGTAAAAAAAAAAAAAAAAAAGAAGAGGGGGCTTGGCATGGGATTCTAACCTAAGAAGTACCAGCTTCTTCACAGAAACCTTTGGGACAGATGAGGCCACCAGGAGAACTTAGCACTAAGCACGAGAAGAGGAGGCTGCAGAGGGCAGGGCAGGGCGACCACTGGCCTAGTGGTGTGGGCGCTGGAGGCACCGATCAGAGAGCCCCTTCTGAAGGATGCAGACCAGGGGCTGCCAGGCTCTGGCTGGGGAAGGGGCTGTGCCAGTCTTGCCTTTAAAAGCCCTCCACCCTCCCTTGGCGTGGCTTTACACCTAGCTGCCTGCTTCCTGGACCTCAAGAGTTGAGGGTGTCCTGCAGCCCGCTCACCCAGCCAGGGCAGTTCAGCCCTGTGGGTCTGAACTGCCCTGTGGGTCTGCCCCACAGTCCCCTTTCTCTTTTGCAGCAACTGCCTGCACGTGGTGGAGCCCATGCCAGTGCCTGGCCATGACGTGGAGGCCTACTGCCTGTTGTGCGAGTGCAAATACGAGGAGCGCAGCACCACCACCATCAAGGTACTTCGCCCCATCCCTCCGCGACCCTGGCTGTCCTCCTCCCAGTCTTTGCCTTATTCTGTGGGGTGCCCTTGAGGCTGGCCTAATGCAGACACAGGGTCCTCTGACACTTCTGGAGCTGTCTCCTCTGATGCCCCACCAGCGGCGCCTGTCCAGTGGCAGGAGGGAGTCATGGGAGAGTGGCTTGAGTCTATGTTTTGCTTCCCTTCTTTCCAGTTTTTTCTTCTGTCTCCTATGCATTCTGTCTCTCTGTTTTGGGTGTCTGTCATGTTCAGACACCTCGCTTGGGTAGAGAGGGAAGCCTGCCCTCCTGTAGCTCACAGTCCTGTCTGCGACCAGTCCATGGAGCCTTGGATGAGTGCTAGGCATCGGGTGCCGGCACCCAGGCTCCTGCGCTTTCTCCTGAGCCTTGTTCTCAGCCACCACTTGGGTGAACTCAGGAAGGAGGCGACCGCGTAGCCTGCAGCATGGGGAGTAAGAAGGATGTCACCAGGTCTGTCTTCATCGCTTTCTCCTTTCTGAAACAAGAGCTGGCACTCGCAGCTCTGAGAAGAGGTTTATTTTGGTGCACGTTTCAGGCAGTGGTCAGCTGAGCCCCAAGAAGAAATAGGGTGATAGAGGAGCCAGGCAGAGGTAGGCTGCTGAGGTCCCGGCAGCCAGGCAGCGGTCAGGGCGCTGAGGAGGGAGGTAACACCCTCCCTGCCACACCCCCAGCTACCCACCTTTTCTGACCAGACCCTACCTCCTAGCAGCAGGCTCACCACGAGCCCTCAAATGCAACTGCTTTGAAAAACCTTGAGGCTGTGGAGGCCATTTTAGGTCTAACAAGGTCCCTGTCCCTTCCCCTACTAACAAGCAGGACGCAGCCAGAGGCCATGAAGCCACCCTTCCTGGTTTTTAAGCTTGTTTTTGTTTGTCCTCTGGAAAGGGTAGAAACGGTATCATCCAATAACCCTCCTGAGTTTCAAGATGCTGCTGTATCGGCCCTCAGGCTCCTGATTTTGAGGTATGATTAGAGGGAAGGTGGACTTCATAGCATTCTTCCCTGCCTGCCCCAGGAAGCCCTGGCTCTTCCCAGGCTGTGAGCACCTTCTTGGGCTCACCCTTCCGCAGCCCGTGGCATTTCTCTGTAGCCGCATGTTCGTTGTCCTCCTGCTCCTGGGCCAGCCCTTTCTGCAATCTTCCTCACCACTTCTGAGCTTGCTCCAGTGGGCTCGACCCTTTGGAGACCAGATGCCTGAGACCTTCAATTCAGAGCCAGATGTCACCACTCCTTGTTGGCCAGGACAGGGACCCCATGGGACACAGCCTCCTAACCCCTCACATTTCCTTACAGTCCTACCCAACCCCACCCCCTCACCCCAGACAGACCCAGCCTCCGTTCTCCTTGCCTGTCAGAGGCAGGCAAGAGGTGTGAGTGTTCACCCTGCTTAGAGAGGCATGAACCTGGTGTTTCGGTCCAGGAGGAAGTTGGGCCTGTTGAACTTAGCTGGGCAACAAATTTGAAAGACCTAAGATTCTCCTTTTATGTTTAATCCTACTTTACAGCCAAGTCAGAAGCCAGTGGTGGTCAAAGTGTTGTGGAGGTAAAGAGGCATTTGAGATGAAGTCAGCATGGGCTGGGGGTACTCACTGGCAAGCACAAGGTCCTGAGTTCGATTTCTGGAACCAAAAAAAGGTGGGGGAGATAGAGCCAGCAAAGCTGGTTCATATTACTTCTTTTCTTAACTAGCCCTGGGCTCTCAGATGAATTATGTAGTCTGTGGTTCTCAATAAACTGTTACTGCCCCCTCCCAGGGGCATTTTGAGAGAGTGGAGATACTTTTGTGGCCCCAGCAACGAGTGGTATTATTGACTGACATCATCACAAGGAATATGGGGGCCGAATGTCATGGAGGGTCCCACCTGAAATGCCCACAGCACCCTGCCAAGAAACACCAAAGCAGCCTCATTAAACCTGTCCTTTCTGTAGGATTTCTCCAGGTCCGGGGAGGTAGCTCAGTGGTCTGAGCACCTGCCTGGCAAGTGCAAGGACCTGGGTTCAATCCCCACTACCACGTGCCAAAACCAGCCTCATGCCAAGCTGGCCACCAAAACCAGTGTGAGGGTGTACGCTTGTGATCCCAGCGCTGTGGAGGCTGAGACAGGAGGATTACTATGAGTCTGAGCTATGTAGCAAGACCCTGTACCAAATGAATATTAAATAAAAGATTAATTTTTTTTTTAAAGATGATTTCTCCAGCTAAGGGGGCTCTGTTTATAGGACACTGTCATCGTTACATGGCCCTGCCTTCTCCCCAGGGAATGTAGGTTGGCCTCAGCCCTCCCATGCACAGCCTTAGGCCCATCTGCCTCTGCCACACAGTGGTGCACACTGAGTGCACCTTGTGTCCTCCCGAGAGCGGCACCCTGTTACCCCACACAGTGAGGCCACATGCCCAGGCTTACTTTTGCTTGCCTCTGCCCTCCAGTCTCTCCTCATTCTTATAGCTGGGTGGAATCTGCTTACCCTTCCCCCATAGTAGGAGCGGCTCTGGTGTCCTTCTGCCCTCCTCATTCCTGTCAGAACACTCCATGTGGGACTCCCTTGGGTGGGACACAGCTGGCCAGCCAGTGCGGGCATCCCTGTCTCTTCCTGGTGCTCCTGCCCTCCACACCATGCCACCCCCTAGTCCTGGAGAGGTCACCATCCACAGAACACACATGGAACAAGACCAGAAAGGGATTTCTGGTCCTGGCCATGGATTGGTTCACAGGGAACCTGTGTCTCCCGCAGGTCATCATCATCATCTACTTGTCTGTGGTGGGGGCCCTCCTGCTCTACATGGCCTTCCTGATGCTGGTGGACCCTCTCATTCGAAAGCCAGATGCTTACACTGAACAGCTGCATAATGAGGAAGAGAATGAGGTAACAGGGCCCTGGTTCCAGCATGCCTCGGGGCAGAACCTGGAGGACCATTTCTTGGGACTTGTGGGAGCTGCTGTGCCCCATTCCTGCCCCAGGCTCTAGGTTTCCCTCGTGTCACCCAGACTTAGCAGGGCACTGTCCTTTGTGCATCCAGAGGAAACATCAGGCGGCCCTAGTTTCCTGACACAGCATGTAGCCTCAGTGCACAGGTGGGAGAGCTGTCTCCCTGGTACGCTGCATTGTTGGGCAGAAGAAAATGAGCCAGCCAGGGCCAGCTGTGGGCGGGGACACAACATCCTGCTTGTTACTTTTCTCTCATTGCTGAAACAAAATACCTGATGCCCAGAATTAAGGAGGGTAAGGTTTATTTAGCTCATAGTTTGTAGAGGTTTCAGTCCATACTTGGCTGGCTCCAAGACGGTGGCACATGGCAGAGGGCAACAGTTCTTGGCAACAAAGGCAAAAGGAACAAATGGGAAAAGGAGAAAGGAGCAAGCCCTCTTTCCTGCCCCTGTGCAGGTGACCTGCCCCTGGGTGGGTGTAGCACTCACCCCATAATCCCAGCATTGGACCATGAATCAGTCAAAAACTCTAGAAGCCCGCCCCTCCATTACTGCGTGAGGCTTTGGGGTGACACCTTGACACAACCATAATAGAGGCCTTAGGTTTGTTCTGCGGATCAGTGCTTGCACAAATGTCTGTGGCAGCGGTGGTGGGCCTGTCATGTGGTGTCACAGTAGGCTGTTTGTACCATTGCAAGCTGTACAAGGTTCACCATCACTGTTCCACAGAGGACTTGTTCTGTAGCACTGGAGGCTGAGGTAGGACCGTAAAAGCCCAAAGAATGAGGGGGCTGGCTGTGCATGTGTGGGGAATTTGAGCATCAAAGATTAGATAGGCATCCAGGAATGTCAGCAGACAGCTGATCAGAAAGGTAAGGCCAGATTAATAAAGGCCTTGAAGGTCAGGCTGTGAGGTTTTGACTAAGTGGTAAGGAGGTTGGGGAGCCAGCAATGCCAGGCAGCTTGAAAACCCTTTCTGAGGCACGGACTGTGTGGCTGAGCTCTGTCCCCAAGGCCTCGCTGGAAGATATACCTGTCCGTTGCAGAGTGAGTGAGTTAGATCTCCACTCCTACATGTCACTATCCAAAGGAGCACCTAATGAGGACATAACTCTGCTATGTGCTAGAAGATTTAGTTGAAAAAACTTGGAGATACTTAGCTTGAACAAACAAAGCAGATGCACAGAGTTGCCTTCAGGTACCCAGAGAGCAGAGCCTGCCCCTCCCCAACCCCCAGGGATAGAAGGACCCACAGGTGGGCCATAGAGGGAGGTTTAACATGACAGTGGATGATGGAGGTGGGCACACAGCATGGTCTCCTGCTGGAATGGGTGGGCTCCCTTTCAAGGTGGTAAGTTGTGGGTCACTAGAGGTAACCAGGTGTAGGCTGAGCTGCCTTTGGGCAGTGGGAGTTTAAAGCTCTTCAGGTCCTGGATTGGAGGCAGCAAAGTGCAAGTTCTTCACCAGAAAGAGATTCAGGGGCTCAGGTGTGCATGAAGCTGCCCAGCTAGTCTGGGTCTGGACTAGTATGGGCAGGGAGGTCCAGGGCAAGTCAGGAGGAAGAGCATGAGGTCTGGCCGCTTCCTCCAGCCCTGCTGCTTCTCCTGGGTATGTGCCTGCACTGTTCCCAGTCTGTCCCCAGCCTCCTGCTGACATGAATTTGGCCAAAGGAGCTGGGGCCTGGAAGGTGGTGGGGCTGGCAGTTGGGTGGTCTGTGCTCAAGAGGAAAGATTTCATGTCTACCCAGTTATTAATGTAGAGTAATAGCACCTCTGATAAGGGAGGAACATTGCTAATAAACACTCAGCGATTAGGGGTAATGTGCTAATTGCAGCCCTGGCCGAGGAGTAATTGAGAGAGGCACCTGATGATTACATGGCCTGTGCTGTGATTTCCCTGGAATGTATTACTCTCGGGCACAGCCTCTGGTGTCTCCTGCCATCCTAAATATGGAGCCAGAGGAAGGGCAGTTGCCGTCTCTGGGTCTGAGCCTGCTCTGTTTCCTGTGAGAGACCTGGGTGCTCTTCACTTGGAGTCTGTCTGTGGGCGGCCTTGGAGGAAGGAGGGCTTGGGTTTGGTCAGTCTCATTCTGGAGATATGACCTTAATCAGAGGGTGGATGTCTCCTGGGTGGGTTTGGCTTGGAGTGCCTGTGGTTAAAGTCCCTGTGCTTAACCACACAGAAGGGTGCCAGTGAGGACGTGGGCTGTCATAGGTAGTACTGAGCCAGAGCTGGTGAGTCTGTGTCCCTTTGGTAGAGTCCACCTTGATCCCATCCCTCCCACTCCGAGGCTCAGAAGAGCTGTACAGTTATGTTCATTCTCTCCGAGATGTGGACTGGGGATGCAGCCAGCTGTGGCGAGTGGCATACTTATGTGGGGGCTGGGGCAGGATGGAGCTTATCAGGTGCCTTTGGGGTGGGTTAGGAAATGCTCTCTAGTCTCAGTGAGCGGCATCACCCCTACATTTCTGTGCCCTGGGTGATGCCGTGCTCTCCTGTGTTCAGGCATCCAGTAGGATGCTGTGCTCAGAGTGGTGCAGACCCAGGCTGCCTACAGACGCAGCCAAGACAGCCAAAGCCAGGGGAAGGGGCAGGGAAGTACACGTTAGTGGTAAGATCCAGCTTTGTTAGCTGGGCAGTCAGGTGAAGGAGGTGGGTGCTTTGGAGGAGCTTATGGGATAGATGACGGGGAAGTTGCCCTTCCCTTTGCGCTGGTCAGCAAAGGCAGGCTCCCTGGCAGAGGGGACCTTCAGAGCTGGCTCGGAGGGTTGATGAGAGAGGGAGTGCTGACTGCAGTGGGAAGGTGGCGGCCTCAGACTGGAGAGAGAGCCAAGGGTCTCATTGTAACACGGGCCAGTTACCCTGGTCCTGGACAGTGAGGATAGTCTACTGCCCCTCAGTGCACCTGAGGAAGGTGGGAGTGCCAGAGAGAGAGGTCCCGAGGCCTCCCAGCTATGCCCTGGCAGAGGCAAGGCTTAGAGCTTTTCCTTAAAAAGGAGACAAGAAAGACCAGGTGTCCCTGGGCTGGAAGAGCCTAGCTTTCACCCCCAAGAGGAAGAAAGTGGGAGTTCAGTCCCTGTCCTTAGCACATAGAAGGGTCGTGGGCTGTCATAGCTCAGCTGGAGCTGGCGGTCCTGCACCCCGTCTGTAGAGGGACCCTTGGCACGCAGGTCCTTGGGCTACACAGTGAGCAGTGGCTGCAGGTCCAGCTCTCTGGACCTCCAGCCCTTCCCTGAGATGCAGTTGGAGGTGGGATGTGGAGCACAGAGGGCTCTCCAGCTCCAGGGCTCCCCAGGTCCATCTTCTCAGTTTCTTTAGCCAGGAGCTCTCTGGCCATCCGGCCATGGGGCAAGAACCTGGAAGGGGAAGGTGAGGCCGCCCCCACAGCGCAGCTCCACGCAGCCCCCCGAGTCCATGCAGGAGATGAAAGCCCGTCATGCTCCCTTTGAAAGCTCTGGCAGAGCCTCAGTGGCCTGATTGCTGGGCGCTGCCTCCCCTGGGATTCCAGCAGCATTAGGACTAATCCTGGGGCTCAGACGCCCTTTGAAAGGAGGAAGCCAGCATGTTTTCTGGGACAGAAACGGCAACAAAGCCATTTAGATGTACAGGTCTAGCCCTCTTTGAAGAGACAGAAGTGAGGGTTTTCTCTTCAGCTTGGGCTGGCTTTGCTGCTCTCCCTGAGCTCTGACAGGGTCTTCAAAATTCTGACCCTCATGGGGCGGCGAGTATAGTTCTGAGCTTAGTGGGGGAGGGGTACGCAGAAGAATCGAAGATGTTGAGGGTGATGAGAACAGAGGCCGTGTATGGACTGAGAGAAGAAAATTGGGCCCACTGAGGACCTGTTCCCTTTCCTGGCAGAGGCCAGGTAGGCAGCTGTGTGCAGAGGACCGGGGCAGCAGGGCGGACTGTGCGTCATTGAGAAGCCACATGCTGATGAGCAATTCAGAGCCTCCTCGCCGAGGCACAGAAAAGGAAGGTGCTGCTCGAAGACATTTCTAGAATGAATGCCTGTGAGGGGAAGCATAGTGTGGTAACTGGGAGCAGGGCCGTGAGGCCCCAGTGCGCAGTCCAGCTCTGTCACTCTCATCCTGGGTGTTGATCTCCAAGTTTAGGTGTCTCAATCTGGAGTGGACAAAGTAGTTCCTCCCTCAGCATCATTGCTGTATTTTAGCTACTCTTTTTTTTTTTCATAGAAGGGATCGAACTTAGGACCTTGCACTTGCCAGGCAGGCGCTGTGCCGCTGAGCTATCTCCCTGGCATTGTTGCTGTATTAATGCACATGGAGGCTTTACGAAGTGTGACCGTCCATGGAGATGAGGTGCTTCCGTCAGGTCTCAGCATGTGAGGAGCGTGGTGGTTGTGGGAGAAAGCTGAGGGGCAGCGGCTGCAGGATGTGCGTGAGGGGCCACTGCAGGTAGGGGGAGAACAGCATGCAGCAGCAGGTGGGGCGGAGGCGAGTGTGGGGGTGGGGCCAGTGAGGCTCAGCAAGGTCTGCGCCAGTGCCAAGGGAGCCAAGGGAGCCGAGGTCAGCAGCAGTGTGCCTTTACCTAGCCAGGTCACTGCCCCCGGTTTTTGAGCAGGGGAACTAACTATTTGATATATCAGAAGAAGGTGCCTGGCCGCAGGTGCAGGCATCAGGGAGAACCTGGGAGCAGAGGGATTCGGGGAGGTTGCTGCAGGAGGAAGGGCAAGGGATACCTGGACACTCCAGCACTCGAGTCCTTCTTCCTTGCTTGCTGTGTTAGTTGATGGGGCCAGGTCCTGCCTCTGTGCCCAGGCTGGGGAGTGAGGAGGAAGACAGGTAGAAAAGGGGGGCAGGTGGGTGTGTCAGAGGCCCAGCCTGCTGCCCACTGACAGCCAGTATTCCTAGAGCACTGCAGAGGGTTGCCCCGGATGCTGTGGGCCCAGGAGTACCCCACACAGTGCAGGCTCTCCCCAGGCCTGAGAGGAGGGCCTCGCAGGAAGCTCCCAGCCCCGTAATCTTTGTGGACACTTTATTCTCACTTGAACCCTGGCAGAAGAAACTTGCCTGCTACTTTGACGGTCCACGTGGGCTCCTCTCAGGAAAAGCCAGCCAAAGGAAGATGCAGCGAAGTCCCAGAACAAGGGACACAGACAAGCATGTCCTGACTCAGCCCCAAAGAGCTGTGTGGCCTTGGGGAGCAAGATGATGCCTCCTGCAGAGCCTCAGTTTCCCCATCCACAGGATGGGGATGTTACTGCCCATTTGCTAGTATCATGAGCCCAGGCATAACCAGGCCTGGCAGTATGCCGGAACAGGGTGGCACTTCCCAGCATCACACTAGTCTGGTTGCCTGGAAACCTCCAAGGACCCCCTACAAGCCCACAGTCCAACAGAGCCCAGCCCTGTCCCAACTGCCTTCTGCACCCTTGTGTACCCCGGGACTCAGCCTCAGGGGGAAGGGGTTAGAAGTCAGTAGCCTCTCTCGGCCGTCACCTGTCATCACTGCTGCCCATGAGGTGGGGATGAGGCCCGCACTGGGCTTCAGGTAGGACAGATGCAGAGTCTTTAATACCTTTAATCAGACTATTAGCAATGGGAGCGCGGCGCCTCTCTGCAGCGGCTTTCCCCACTTAGGAGCTGTTTGCTGGGACTTTACATGAAGGGCTGACAAATGATGCTGCGGTAATGTGGTGAATTTCAGCACATTCCCTTAATGCCCTGCTCTTGGCTTCCCTGCCTTTCCCTCCTCCTCACACTGCCCTGGGAACAGAGCAGTGGAAGGGAGCAGGGCTGACACCCTTCCAGGCCTGTCCTGGGGCCACGCCCCCACTGCTGCAGTCACAGCCACGTACCCCTCCCTGAGCCCTGCAGGGACACACTGGTCTCAGGAGGAAGAGAAGCCCTTCAGGTACTCAGAGCCAGGATGGCTAAGTCCTGGTGGGCCAGCAGCTTCCTGGGTGGGTGGCTTGTCCACGCGTGCCTCATGCTTACAGCCGTGAGGAGGAGGTCCTGGGCAGAGCAGGCGCGGCCAGAGCACAGACAGTGCAGCTGCGCAGGAGAGGCATGAGTTGGGAGGTTGTGCACCAGTCACTGTCCAGTGGCAGCTTTCCTAGCCATGAACTGCTTTCCACCCCTTCCCCTACCTAAGGGGAGCCCAGAACTAGGGGCTGCTGCTGATCAGGCGCTGCCAAATGCTGTGCATTCAGTGTTTCACTACAAAGCTGCCTCTTCTGAGGGATAGAGAAACTGGTTCAGCAGAGAAGATAACTTGCCCATCATAGATCTGGTAGGGGTCAGAGCTGGCACAGTCAGCTTGATTCCAGTGTCTTCCTAACTGCAGAAAAGGACACTGAACATTTCTTGAGCTCCTGCTCTGGGACGGCCCCTTTCTTAAGGGCTTGATGTATGACTTAGTCATGCTGCACTAACCAGAAGCAGTGTTTTGCACATTGGAACACAGCCCACTGGGTCATACAGTGGTTACTGGGACTCATGACCGGATTTTTAAGAAATGAAATGAGCAGGTTGGTGTTGTATGTCTATGCTATAATCCCAGTACGGAGAGGCTGAGGCAGGAGGATTGCCAATTCGAGCCCAGCCTGAGCAGTTAAGAAACAGTGGGACCACATTAAAATGAACGAATGGGAATGTAGCTCAATGTGCAAGATCGGGGTTCAATGTCTCATACTTAAAAACAAAAATAAAACCTTCTGAACACACAACAGGGCATATCACAGTGCGTCATATTTGCATACTGTTTTGTGAAACACTGTGTGTGTGTGTCTCCTGGGTCATCAGATAATGACATTCCCACTGGCAGCATGGTGGGTGAGTCTCAAGGTTGGGTCATTAGGTTGAAGGTTGGAGAAACAAAGTGACTTGTCCAGCACACAGCTACCAGTTGTCTGAGCTGTGCCTCATGAATCCTTCCAGCATCTTGTTTGGACCTGTGGTTCTGCCTGAGATGGACACAGGGGACTATAAGAACAGGTAGCCTCTGACCTAGACATAGGTGCCAGGGGTCCTAAAAGCTGCTGCGCCCTTGCCTCATACTGCCAGCACCACACAAGCCTCGCCTGTCTTGGCCAGGAAGGCTTCCCTCAGGTCCTGGTCCTGAGGGCTCCCGGAGCCCCACGTCTACCTTAGAGATGAGAGTGCATGGGACAAATGGCTCAGCTGTGTGGCAAGTATGAAGTCCCCCTAGCCCTCCTCTAGCCAGCCACCTCTGCATTATCAGCCCTTCATTGCTTTCCCCCTTCCTAGCTGCCCTCCCTCCCCAGCCTGGCAGCTGTTTAGTGACAGAAGCAGTGCCAGCTCAGGGCATTAGAAGCAAAGTTGCATTTACTGGGCGGCTCTGGGCTTAGTGGGGTGCACTAATCTTTTAAGAGATGTATGGCAGGAGATGAGAGGCAGGGAGAGCTTGGGAGGAAATCCCCATGGGGCTGTGGGCCTGGCCCTCGGCTCTAATTCCCCCCAAAGATCAGGTTTGGGTCCTGCAGGAAATGCATGGGCTCCGGAGCATCAGAGGCAGAGAAGTGGTAATTAGGGGGCACTGACAACAGGAATGGGTCTTAGAGCAAAGGGGAAGGGGGAGCAAGGCGGGCCTGGCGGGAAAGGAGCCAAGCTGTCCTAGGCTATAAGAGGAGAGGGCAGCTGGGCAGGCTCTGGAATGGGACTCCTGGGGTCAAGTCTGAAATTGCCATTCCTGCCAGCCCCTTGGAATGATGTCACAGCCCTGTCTTGAAGGGAAAGGAAGCTCAATGTATAGCGTCCCCCTCACTGATCAGAGCAGATCCAGAGGATACCTCTGCCTTCTGAGTGAGGTCTCAGTGTCAACACCGAGTATTCCTCCTGAGTGGTAGTGACAGGCCTGTGCGGTTCAGTGAACATACTCCCCCCAGCCCAGAAGGAGGGAGGCCACATCCTGCAGACCCTGCTGTGCATGCTGCTGGCTTCGCCAGTGGTGAGGCAAGATCTGCACGGAGCCCACAGTCCTGGGAGAGGCCAAATGTCAGCCCTGCTCCTGGGGCATCCATTCCCTGTCTGACCTGCCCAAGTCACAACTCTTTTTTTTTTTTTTTTTTTTCCACTCCAGGATGCACGCTCTATGGCAGCCACTGCTACATCCCTTGGGGGACCCCGAGCCAACACTGTTCTGGAGCGCATGGAAGGTGCTCAGCAGCGGTGGAAGCTACAAGTGCAGGAGCAGCGCAAGACAGTCTTTGACCGGCACAAGATGCTCAGCTAGATGGGCTAGTGCGGGTGGATCAAGTACCCAGGCCAGGGCTGAGCAGAGCCGGGACCACTTCTCCTCTGCCCTCCATGCCAGTATCCCCTTGAAAAGCCTGTGCCATTTTCCTTTTCTCCTTCTCTATAGAAATGTTGTACTTGGCTGTTTTGATTAGGGTGTATGAGGGGTCTCCAGTCTCCCTTGTCTCCTTAGGTCTCTGGGGTAGGGGAGAGGGGGAAGGCAGGGCAAAGAGGAATGGAGACCTCAGAGGTGGCCTCAGGATTGGACAGAATTGGTTTCTTCTTATTCCACCTTGCCACCCCTTTTGGCTTCAGCTCTTGGGAGCTTTATTAACCTTTGGAAAATGGTGCTGGGTCGTTAGAGGAGCACATGAGCCAGCATTCAGTATGGGCTTCTGTCTGCGGTGGGTCTGACCTTCCTCCTGGTCCTACCTGTGGCCAGGTCGCATCCCTCAGGAATGGCACTGGTGGGAGGCTGGTGCTGCTGAGCCTGCAGAGGTTCTCGGGGTGCCTGGAAGCTTGCTGCCTTCTTCCTGGGCTCCTCATCCCCCAGTGCATGGCAGGGCCGGGCACTCCTGCTTTACGCGCTGTGTGTCCTCACATTCCACCTCGGGAGGCTGGCTGTCCTCTTCTCTCCTAGCATCTGCTGTTGCTGAGCCAGAAAGTTGGACACAGGCTGAGCAGTGGACTCCAACACCACAGCTCCTGTCCCTGTTCACATGTCCCTGAACGTCATTGTACCAGTGCATGGAGATAAATGTTGTCCTGTTGTCTGTAAGGGAAGCCATCATTATATTGTCCTGTTTCTCTTACTTTTCTGAATTTTAAGAGTTTTTTGTTTTTAAAATAATTTCAGCGGGTGCTTCATAAGTGACCTGGTAGGTATAGTGTCCAGAGAGGGGACAGAGAACATTGTCCTCAGGAGGTCCTGCTCAATAACCCTCTCCTGGCCAATAAGCCGAGGCTGGTAGCCCCAAGTAGCTGCGGCTGAGCTGTGGTGGCATCTGGGTGGAGTCCCATGTTCACTGAAGCCCTGTTGCCTGCCGAGGGAGACCAGCAGGCTGCAGCGCTGCTGAACGAGGCTCCCTTGCTGCAGAGAGCCAGGGCGAGCTGGCTTGGAATTGTCCTGAGATGCTGTTTTCTACCACGTTACAGGTTTGTCCTCAGTGATGTCATCCTTGTATTCTGCAGACATAAGAAGTGGTGCAGAATATCTCTAAATGAAACCCAGCAGGTATTGTGAGGTGCCAAGCAAACCGCATCCTGGCACCTGTCCCCAGCCTAGCTCCATCCCAGGAAGTGCAATGTAGGCAGGGGGTGGCATCTCAGGGACCAGAGGATCAAGCTAAAGTCTGTCCTTGGGTTTGTCCACACAAACATGTTCAGAACCTTTGTGTCAAGCCCCTGTTGTGTTCTTGAAGAGATCGCACAGGCAAGAGAACGACTTGAGGTGGAGTTCAGTTTGCAAAGATGGGCCAACGTTCAGAACCAGTTAAAGTACTAAAGGGGACAGGAGAGGGGTGGCTCGCAGATGGGGTTTCTAGGAGGGAAAAGAGGCTGGATTTAACTTGGAAAGCAAGTGCGGGACACAGGTGAGAGGGCACCAGGCTGATGGTGGGATCCTGCGGGGGCTTGCTTAGCTGGCATGAGATGTGTGGGGAGGGGGTTGACAGGAGAAATACATGTGTCATACATGCAAGACTGTGATAGAGGAACAGCTGCTGATTGCATTTTGCCCTGTTCATTCCCCTGACATTTTATCAGCGACTATAAGAGCCAAGCAGTTGCCCATTGGACCTTTGAAGATAGAGATGCACTTCAAGAGACCGATGAGAGACTGGGCGTGGTGGCGCACGCCTGTAACCCCAGCACTTGGGAGACTGAAAATAGGAGGATCACTGTGAGTCTAATCTACATAGTGAGACCCTGTAGACACTGTACTACATTCATAAAACAAAGAGACAGACGAAAGTAGCGCTTTCTCTCCAAAGATGGGCAGAGGGGAACCTTAACTTGCCAAAAAATCGCTCACCCTGAAACTTGACTCTAGCATTGCCAGAGCTCCCCTCTGAAACCACACCAGCCATACCACCAGAGCACCCCACAGAGATCCAAGCAGGCTTGGGGTGTCTTAAGGACTTGATCTGAAGCCAACAGCTGCTAACTGCAAAGAAGCTCAACCATAAGGTTAATCTGTGAAAATTTATGAGAGATTGGGTGGGAGTGAATGCTCACTTACATGAGGTTTCAACTAGTACTCACATGTCCAAATATGTGTCAACTTTACACACAAAAGCTCTGAGTTTCAGACATGGATTCCAGAGTGCACCTCATTTTCTTTTGGTGGATAATGAAGAGCAAATCCCCCAACCTTGTTGCACCCTCACATAGAGGTCTCTGTTTGGGTGATCGTTTGGAACTGACTAATACCCTTTTAGTCAGCAATGGAAATGATCAGAAGTGACATTCTACACCCCATCGGGTAGAAAATGAATAGCGCTTTCCTGTTGTCTTCAAAAATCCTTTGTCTCTCAGCAAACCCACCAACTGGTTACATTTGGCCCTGGTGACCAGAGTCTTGGAATTAGCCTCCCTGGTTAGAAGCCAGCACTCAGGCCCCAGGCAGTCAGAGGGAAGGGGGTGTTAGGTGGAGGCCAGCTGGAGTCCTCACTCAGCCCAACTGTTCCTGGGATCCAGCCCCATTCACCTGCCAGCCACACCCGGTCCTGGCCTGGCTCCTCCGCTCCTCCCCGTTCTACTTGGCACTGCTGTAAGAGACTGTGACCTTCGTATGCTCAGTACTCCCTAGAGGGCCATTCCCTTTTTCTTTAGCCTTGCTCGAGGTTACAAGGCAACCTTCCCGTGTTTCCCCTTTGCCTTACCCTAGGAGGTCTTGCAATCTACTGTGCTTCAAGAAAACTGAAACCATTAGGTGTTGTCCCTTAATGTCTTTACCCCTGCCTGCAGACTCCTTCATGCTCATCTTGACTGATTTTGCTGTGGTCTTGATAGCATGCTTCTCCTGCTTAGAGCCAACTCACCCATCCCAGGGTGGGCTTCAGGACCTCTGTGTTCCTGCACCCTCCCCTCTACCTGTTAATGTACTCAAGTCTCCTGCCCTTAAAAAGAACCTTTCCTGGGTTCCACATCCAGCTCTGGCTACAGTGCAGGCTCCCCTGTCATCACCCACGTACCTGTCCACTGTGGTTATTCACCTTGTGCCCTCTGCAGGCTGACCTCATGTTCCTAGTGAAGGTGACAGCTCAGCAATTGCCAGGCACAGAGGACGTCCCTGGTTCTTACCTTTCTGGCCCTCACTGGTATTTTACACCATTGATAATTCTCCTCTCTTAAATTTACTTTTCCCTGCAAATTGGCACTTTTTTATTTCTAATTTAATTGATTATATCACTACTCACTAAGGTGCTGAAGCCAGAAACGTGGAGACTGTCGGTTCCTTTCTTCCTGGTCTGCAGCCCTCACAGCTGATCATTCACAGGCGCCCCCAACTTTGTCCCCAAACGTGTAGTTCTGGGCTCGGGCCCTCCTCTCCCTCGCCATCACCGCCCCAGCTCAAGCCTTTATCATTTCTCACTCTTGCCAGGAACCTCCAGAGACCTTGCATCTATTCTGACCATGTGACTTCTCTTTCTCTAAACTTCATGGGCCCCCCAATTCTTTATGAGTGGCATTAGCTGGTCCCTGCAGATGTGAGCTCACCCAGGTGGGTGCTGGGCGCTTGGTCCCAAACAGGCTGTGATCCTGAGCCGCCCCTGAGGCTTCTGCTTTTGCCAGGCTGGTTCCCTACCAGCCCCTAGTTTGTTAGCCCTGCTGTGGGCTTTAGGTGTGGTGAGGAGGCATTGGGCTAGAAGGAGGAGCTGAAGGAATAGGAGGGGAGCACCCCCAACCTGAGCTCTCTGTTTGGCACAAGCTTGTGCTTTCCCTGGCACAGGCACCTACAAACGGCCCCAAAGTCAGTAGGCAGAGTGAAGAGTGTGAGCACAAAAGCTGGTACCTGCCTGAATTCTCCACTCAGCTGAGCCTGGCAGACCTGTGGCCCCTCTGTGCCAGTCCTTTTGTCTGTATGGGGGACACTACCCAGGGCCCGGCCAGAAGTAAATTCTCATCAAGCATGGCTACCAGAGGGCGTTGGGCAGAGGTCTTCCTAGACCTGCCCTCCACTTAGGAAATCGATGGTATCTAGGTCTGGTGGCTGATGCAAACACTCCTGGCCAGGCAGCTTTGCCTAAAGTTTCAAACCCCCAGGGAGTGTGATTGATTCTCATTCACATCCCAGTGTTACAGTGTAACTTCCTGCACATCAAGTCATCAAGTGATGGTCCTGCAGATTCAATGGGACGCCCTGCTCTGTGTTACCTGGGGGCCCCTAGACACCAGAGTACCCTACCCCTCTGCCGCTTCCCACCCTGACTGAAGTGCAGTTCTAAGCCTCCCTCAGGCCCAAGAGGGAGACCCTCATCTCTCCTGGGACCTAGAGCTGAGCAGGAACTGAGGCTGGAGGTTGAGGGTTCTGAGGAGGCTGGGCTCCTGGAAGCTGAGGGCCTCCCCTACTTACAGAACCACAAGGGGGGCAAAGCTCCAGGCTGGCGACCAGAAGTCCTGGTGAGCTTAGAAATGTGAGTCTTCTCTCTCAGCTATGACTCAGATGGACAAGGAGGCCCATGGCTTCCAGAAGTTTGGTTCACATAAGTGAGGAGATTTGAGGCAGGATCCAGAAGTCTTTTTTTATTTTATTTTATTTTTTTTAGTGGAACTGGGGATTGAACTCAGGACCTTGCGCTTGCCAGGGAAGCACTTACTCCACTGAGCCATCTCCCTGGCCCCAGAAGAATTCTTTTTACTGAAATAGTTATGTAACTATTTTACAGATCATTACACCCATGATTTTGTGGGAACTGATAAGGGCAAGTGAAAAGGGGCAGTAAGGTGAGCACGTTAGAAAACATACAAGGCAAACAGTGAGTAGAGAAGGTGTGAGGGGAATTGGGGGCCACTGTGCACTAGTGGTGCAGCTTTGGACCCAAGTGACCTCGCAGGTACCTCCAGAGCTAATGTCCTGTTCACTTGTGTCAGGCTCCTGGCTAACAGAACTGGGGTAAGAAGAGTGGGAAAGGTTTCTTCCAGGTGTCCTGCTGTGGTGCAGGAGGGACTCATGCCTGGACCTCTGAGCTATTCCCAGCCCAGCCGGGCACTGTGCTGTGGTGGCCAAAAAGATGGACACAGCCAGGCTGCCTGGCTCCAAGTCCCCGTGTTGACTCCTACCCATGTGTGACCCTGGGCAGATCAAATTGTGTTCTTTTCCTCAACTGACAAGTGGGAATGGTGACTTGTCTCATAGGGGACTGACAGTAGGGGGCAAGTGTGGGGGTGTCTGCATGGGCTCAAGGTGTACAACACACCTGGCATGCATAGGCTCCGTGGGTACAGATGCCTATTGTTCTTGATGTGCATCTATGTGGTGGGGGGCAGGGCCTCCCCACTGCAGCCCAGGGGTCCCCAGTGGCTCCTCAGCCCACTCCTCAGGCTACACACAGGTCACCTAGCTTCCAGCACAAGCCTCCTTCCTAGGTCAGCAACTCTCCCCAGACAGAGCTGGGCTTCTCTACAGAGGTCCTAAGAGTTCCTCGAGTGTCCCTGGGGAGGTCTTCTGAGCCAGGTTCCAGCTTGCTCAGCTCACTGCCAACTGTGGTGGTCTGGTCACCCCCAGGAGCCCTCTCCTGCTATGCCCTTGAAGAGCCACTGCAACCCTCCTCACTCTCCATCCAGCCCAGGGCTATCAGCCATCACCTGC